TTTTAGTATACTGTATATGTAGTTCATTGTCTATCAAAAATGTACTATTTCATTAGCATTTTAGTAATATTTATTGTATAATCTTTCTTTTTGCCCCCTTACATCAAGTGACCCTATCAGAGTGCCTCCATTTCATTTTCCTTTAGTCCCATCATGCACACTGGACGTTATTACAGCGGCTGTTTTTGGCTTTTGGGCATTTTTTTTCTACAGCCAGTAAACGCCCCAGCATGTTATTCTATGTGTCCATTCACACATAGACTGTAATAAACCGTTTTTGTCCGGGACGTTTTTTGGCTGGAAAAAAACCCAAGAACTAGTGGGTTTCTAGAGGAGTTTATTAGCTGTAAAAACGCTCTAACACTGAGAAACACGGTAAAACGCGGCAAATTTTCTTTTTTCACTTTCAATTTTGATGATAGCGGTAAACATGACAAATAGTTGAGAGGGTGAATCTCCCTAACAGAGGCACAGGCAAAAATTTAAAAAAAAAAAAAACAGCAGGGGGCATGGGTCTGACTATGGCGGCGTGAAAACGCTAATGCCAGAGCATTGCACGGGACCGGGACAGATATTCTGACAGTGGAGCTTTACCACCCAGCGTCCTTTCTCATTTGCCGGGGGGACCGGATCCACCAAACAGGGACTACCAGGAACGTTAGGGGAGGTGAAATTATTTCCTCTGCCAGCTCCCCGCATACCTCTCCTGGGGGGCTTCTCTAAGATGACGCCGCCGCGGCCCAGTTCTACTGGCTTGGCCCTCAGCCAAGAAGCTCCTGCACTCTGTGGGCCCCTCCTCTGCTGCGGACGCAACCACAACTCATGCCCAGTCTCCCTGATTTTGTCTCTTGCACTTCCACGGGAGAACTCTCAATCAAACTCTGGCCAGAATGGGGGGCCAGACGGCCACATGAAAGGCACTATCAGAGATCTCATGGCAGACTACTTTCCAACTAAGCAAGACCTACAGGCTATGGGACACCTATAATTGTTAATGCTTTTTCCCGTGAAATACATGACCTCCGTCAACAGGTTGACACCGTAGAGGAAAGTGTGGCGGACTGGAAGGTTCCGCCACTACCACCAACACTAAACTTGCCGCACTAGTGGCTGATTAGCAGGCCTTTTCACAGCCATCTTATCAATGTGCACTTTCGCCTAGATGATCATGCTACTTTGACAGCCATCCTCAACCAACTACCAGGGAAGTCGCCTGTAGTGTAATTAGAACTTGACCTGGTCCACCGAGTCTTGGGCCCCCGTGCGCCTCCTTCATCTCAGGCGGTATCTGCCTCTCTACCTCCACCACGAGATGTCCTTTGCAGGGTGCATTTTTATACGGTGAAAGAGGAATTCTACATCAAGCCTGGACTATGGGCCCCATAGACTTAGACGGTGCCATGATCCGTGTATAACCAGACATTTCCAGGCTGACCCGGGCCATGCTCGGATGCTCGGGCCCCTGTTGGAGGTGAAACGGGAAGCAGATGTGACATACCGCTGGGGTTACCCCTTCTCATCGTCCGCAAACAGGGCACTGGATTCTTCCTGCATGCTTCAGATCAACTGCCGGTGCTGTTCGGTTTCCTAGACAAGCCTTCGGTGGAGGTGCCTAGCTGGCTGGACTTTCTACTGAATCCTGACACATCTGGTGCTTCCATGCCACGGACTCAGAGGATCCGAAGATCCCGCTCCAGAGCTTCCAGCTGCGAGACTCTCAGACAAAGACCCCCTAGGCCTCTCCCTGTCTCTTCAGAAGATTGACCGGCCCTGCTATTAAATTGAACCCAAGATTTGGCCTTGGCAGGAGGGGGTTTTCCCCCCTGATTGACTTTCACATATTTTTTAATCCCTGCTAACTCCAAAAGCGATTCTCTATCCTGTGGGACAGAATCTGATCTCTACGTTGGGGGGGTTTGAGGCCTGTCTCATCTTTTAGTCTCATCAGAAACCCTGTCTCTAGCTTCAGCTTCTCCACCTCCCCAAGTGTCAAGGTGGAATAGGCCTCCCAGATATCTGAGCCTATTACAGGGCGGTCCATCTGATGAGGCTGGTGGCTTGGCATTGCCATGCAGAGGCACAACATTGGATGGCAATGGAGCTAGAGGACTCCCGGGCACTGCCAGAAGTTTGCCCTGGATATCTTTGCAGCTACATAGGGACCTAGTGGACTATCCCACGCTCAGCAGTACTTTGTTGATCTCCTGAGATATCTTTCATAGCTCTTCCCTTTCCTCATTGCCGTCTCCTATGACCCCCCCTTCAGAGTTTCATCTGGGACTGGATAATTCCCAATTTCAACATTTGGCATCCACCAGACGTCTCCATCTCTGGGATTTCCTGGGACCTGATATCTTGCCCCCTCCGTTTTAGGAGCTGCCACAGATCGTTTAGATTTCTGGAACAACCTACAACTCCAGCATTTTCTTCACCAATGTTCTCGTTCTCCAACGGTTGATCATCGCCTTAAGGAGTTGGAAAATATTTGCCACAAGCAGGCCCCGAATCATCACTGTCTTTCCATTCTTTACTCTTCCCTGATCAGTCTGCATGAAAACTTCACTCTCACCTTCCTCTCTAAATGGGAAGCTGAACTGGGTGTCCATTTCACTGACATGCAAAAAGAGAAAATTCTTCACTTTGCACAGAAATCCTCAATTGCTTCTAGGGTCAGGAAACTAGCTACAAAATTTTGACCAGGTAGTATAGGGTTCCTACGACCCTACATCAAATTTTCCCACAGGTCTCAGACCTCTGCTGGAGATGCAGCTCTGACCGAGGTACAATATTGCATATCTTCTGGGCTTGCCCAAAAATCAAACCTTTCTGGCAGATAGTGACCAGCACAATCAAAAATCTGACGAGTGTCGATTTGTTGAACGACCCAGCGGCAAGTCTGTTGCACCTTACTGACCGTCCCATCAAAAAGTATAAAGCTTCATTGACAATTCAAGTGCTAAACGCAGCGAAAGCCTGTATTCCTTTGTGTTGGAGGTCTGTGCACCCGCCCACGAGGTCCCTTTGGTCAACAAGCTGAGAGATATGGAGGACCTTACGGCCTCCTTATACGAGCATGGAGAGACTTTCAGAGACACCTGGAGACCTTGGCAATACTTTGTTTATACTGAAACCTATCTTCAGGGAACCCCTCAATCTGTCTGTGGCGTCTCATTTTGGCCTTAAGTGGACTGGGTGGGAGAGACGGTATGAAATATCAATAAATAAAAGAAATTACAAAAAACATGTACATGTATGTATGAGGGTTGTGAATGGGCCCTAAAAATGTGATTGCTCTTATAAACACAATAAAAAATGTACTACAGTTTGTAATAATTTCATCTTTTAATGTATCCATCCCTGGAATTAAATTGTCACTCAATCTAAATGATTCCTATGTAATCCTTAACATTCAGAACCCATTTAAAAAATTTGGCAAAGCTGAAAACCAGTTTGTTTACAAAGAATACTGTATGTAATTTTCCTACTGCTCCTCTACGTACTTTATAAGCAAAAGTTGACAGCATTCAGCTTAGAAGATTTTCATAAATTTCTTCTATTGTGTATAAATATGTAGCACAGCAAAATCAGGGTTCCAGGTCTATTCATAAGGAGTAAAAAATAAATGTAAAATATCAAATTAAAATCCAAGAACCGTCAAATGAGTTCTAATCCTTCTCCACTCTATCCAAATATAAAAAAAAGTTTTGCCTTTAGTTTTAGTTTAAAGCAGAATTCCAGGCAAAAGGCAAACATTTTTTGTACCATGCAGTATGGCTGTGCCTGCACTGCACGGGCTAACTGCTCGTTTTTGTCTAGGGGTGATAAGGGCGGAGATATACTTACCTAATCCGCCAATCATCCGAGCAAAAGTTGGCCCCTGCCGCTTCTGCCCCCTCTGCATGCTTGTGAATGGACTGTTCCTGATGTCATCATGCCCATAGACTGGTTCTGCGCATGAGGATAGCAGGAAGAGTCCACTGCTGGACATGGGGGGGTGCCGTTTTTAGTAGGTTTGAAGGACTGGGTAAGTATAGCCTTTCGGGGACCCCCTGGACAAAATGAGCAGTTAACCCATGCAGTGCTGGCACAGCCCCACTGCATGGGGCAAAAAAAAAATTGCTGTTCTGCTTTAATAACATTTATTAATGATGCCTGAAATTCTTTTATAATGTACAGTGCGTGATATACTTGGTTTTTTGATATTTTGTAATTCATGTTGAATGTAGAATAATCTATGTGGGCGTGAATTGTATTCAGAATTTATTATACATTAATATATACAGTGTATGTATATGTGTGTGTGTACATGTATGTGTGTGTGTGTGTGTGTGTATATATATGTATACACATATACACACACTGTATGGGAGGGGGGGTCTTCAGAAAGTTTCAACACTTTTTTCTTACTAAATAGAGGAAACTTTTTGAAGAACCCTCATATTCAGTCCTGCTTAAGTCTCAGTTTTATGAGAACAGAAAGCCTTGAAGATTTCTAATGTTTGATCTTGCTTGTTGATTTGTCTAGCTCTCCTACATCCAGCTGCTGCTCTCAAGGTCATCAAACACATGATGAAGTCAAGGTATTGCCACCATGGTCCAAGGATCTATTATATGTGTATTCCACATACCTAATTTAACATTTAAATCTTTGTTTGTTTTGACTAATTTAAGCTGGTGAAGGATGAAATGTAATTTGCACATGGTTGCTATTTGCTGATTTCCATTAGGGATATTTCCACTCACTTCCTGTCCCGGTGATAACCTGTCGGTGTGATAGAGCCCACCCAGAAGGGAGTATGTGGTGAAAAACATTCCTAATGTAAAACAATTAGCAGTTCAATGGTCAACATTACAAAAGCAATGTGGATTACTGCATATGTTTATGATAAACCAGGTATCAGTTGTATCTTTGTAATAAAGCTCTGAGTGTATGGCCATTGTAAAGTAGGAATTTACAGTATAAGTACATTTATTTTACACAACCTCTCCTTGTTCTAGCAATGTGTGATAAGACAGTTTGTATTTTCCAGGAATATTATGGTAAATACTTGAAAAACGCAAAAGATTTGAGAACCAATGCATGCGTAACCCCAACAAAGCCAATTCCCAGCTATATCCTGGATGCCCTGAAAGAGGTCCACAGTGAAGTTTCTTCTCGGTAAGGAATTTATATGTCATTAGGAAATCAATAAATATATTTTTTATGTTATTTGTGATCCTTTGGTGAGATGGTATCTTACTGTTAAGGGCTTTGGTGGTGGACCCTGCATTTTCTATTCTGAGATTGGGTGTGGTAACTACTATAGTGAAAAATAAATTGCTTACTTTAAAAGGGGGCTCATATATTTGACCTCTACTCCCAGTCTAATGCCAGGTTACAAAATATCAATAGAATTGTGTAGTTTGGCTGACGTTTCAGTTTTTTTCCATTGTGCTGTCAATATTGTTGCATGCTCTGTTAGGTACTATGGCTGTGGAATTGTGGTACCAGAATGTCTGGAGAACTGCAGGATCCTGGATCTGGGCAGTGGAAGTGGAAGGGACTGTTACATGTTGAGTAAGCTGGTTGGACAGAAAGGCTACGTCACCGGATTAGACATGACTGATGAACAGGTGATCATTACCAAAGGGATACACGTCAAACTTCATGGATTTGGTAGCCAAGAGATCTTTAACCTTAAACTGTACTTGTTTTTGCTAGTATCCAAGCACCACTAACAATAATTGGTCAGTTTTTGACCTTATCCATTCTCTTCTATTATATAAGTCACAGACTTAAATTGGTTGTAAACCCTTACATATACCCAGTAGTCTCAGGTGATGTCAGGTGATGCGTAGTTGTATCACAGTTGTACCTGTTTATCTGCAGCCCCCTCTTCTCTACAGCTTCCTAAAGCATGCATTTTACACAGTATTTCTGGGGTTTTAGAGGCAGGGGACAAGGAACTGTTGTCGAACACTGCACAGCACAGATAGGAGAGCTTAGTATAATCGGAGACTGACCTAATTGGAGGGAAAGCCCCCCCCCCCCCCCCCCCGCTACATGGTCTCATAGGGAAAGATGCACAGCTGAGGCTGTGTGATGGGAGGGGGGGGGTGTATTCCAGGATTGCTTGGTGTAAGGATAAATAAACGGAAGTGACTCATGCAGATAGTGGAGAGAGGAAAGAAAAGCTAGAGATTATAGTAGGTGATTTGGATTGAGGGAAGTACACACTACAGAATGATATGCTTTTTCAGTTTTCATTTCAGAGGTTTACAACCACTTTAATGTTTGCTCTTGAAGCACATAGATAATCCTCATCAATTGATTATGAATCCCCATTTTACCAGACTATTGCAAACTGAAAACATTTTGGGGTTGATTTACTAAAACTGGAGAGTGCAAAATCTGGTGAACCTCTATAAAGAAACCAATCAGCTTCCAGTTGTTTTTTCTTTTTTGTCAAAGCTTAATTGAACAAGCTGAAGTTAGAAGCTGATTGGCTACAATGCCCAGCTGCACCAGATTTTCTCCAGTTTTAGTATATCAATCCTTTTGCAATTTTCTCAATAATGAAAAGCATTCTCTGATTGGATGAGTTGGAGACAGTGATGTCACCACCTTGCCTCTCCACCTTGTCCATTCAGAGAGAGCTTTGCATTCACAGAGAAGATGCAAAGTGTTATTTGTATGGTGCCAGTGCCAAGTGAGCAACCTTCTGTGTTTACTAAGCAGCAGGGCAGCCAATCGGCGTGGAACCTGGAAGCTGGCTGCTACTACAGTGATTTCCAGCTCCCGCAGAAATTGCCCAGGTATGGTATATGTATGGACCAATGTAACTATGCAAAAATTACCATACCTGGAATTTTAGCTTTAAATTATTTATCGTGTCTAGAGTTCTCCTGTGAATGTAAAATGGTAATTGAAGATACAGGGGGCCATATCACACATATTTATAGCTGTGTGTCCCAAGGATTTTTAGTTGCATTTGTTTGTACTAGATTTATTGTCTATATCAGGGTTTCTTAACTAGGGTTCCTCCAGAAGTTGCTAGAGGCTCCTTGAGTAATGAGAAATTTCTGCCTCTCAGATAAGTTCCCACTGACACCATTTATCTTTTTAGCTATCTGTAAGGGGGTAATCTTCTTCCCAATGATCACAAGTGTAAGGAGCATTCTTCCCAATGATCACAAGTGTAAGGAGCATTCTTCCCACTGATCATCACTCTAATGTATCATGAGTTGTAGATATAGAAATATTTAGCAGGGGTTTTCTGAGTTAGTTATTTCAAGGGTTCCTCTGTGTTGAAAAAGTTGAGAAAGGCTGGTTTATATAATAAACTGATGTACAGAATCATAAGTACTGTATGACCAATGTCTGAAGAGGTATTTAAAATGGTTTTATTCATATGAACTAATAACGTTATCATTATTTTAGGTCGAAGTTTCCAGAAATTACATTGATTATCATATGAAAAAATTTGGCCACCAGCAACCCAATATTAACTTTGTCATAGGCTACATTGAAGATCTTAAAGGTGCTGGCATAAAAGATCAAAGCTATGATATTATAATGTGAGTATGATTTACATTTATCTGCCATGTTATAGGGATTACATCAGGATCCCCAGAGTGTCCCCTCATTACATCAGGGTATCCAGAGTTTCCCCCTCACATTAGGCTCCGCAGAGACACCACAAGCTTACATCATGTTCCCTAGAGTCCCCTTCTTACAAAAGATTCCACCCCTCTTTCATTAGGGTCTTCTTCCTCCCTTACATCAGAGACCTCAGAGCCCCCCCCCCCAATAAAATCGGGATTCACCATAGACCCTCCTACATTCATATCAGGGTCCCCAGGGTTCCCCACCCCCTTACACCAGAGCCCCCCCTCACATTAGGGTTCCAGAGTTCCTCCCACTTACATCAGTGTTTCCAGAGTTCTCCCCATTACACCAGGGTTCCCAGAGTCCACCTGGATTAAATCAGGGTCCCCAGTGTCCCCCAAATTGAATCAGGGTCCCCAGAGTTCCCCCATTTTAAATGAGGATCCCTAGAGTTCCCCCTGTATTACATCAGGATCCCCAGAATCCCCCTGCTTTAAAATAGGGTCCCCAGAATCCCAAGCATTAAATCAGGATCTATTACTTCTCAGTGAAGGACAGGTGGAAGCTGGGAGATGGAGCACTGGAATGCAGCAGGACTGTAGAAGGAAGTTATGTCTGCCTCCTGCTCTGAATGCCGGGGCCTGGGGGCGGGGTAAGTACACGATTAATTGCTGGGACACCACACTAGCGCAGGCAGCGGCAGTGGGTGGAACCTGTATTACAGAGTGGAAACTCAGGATATTTCATCCACTGTGCTGTCAGCAATAGGGACAGCTGACATAAATGCAGTTGCGAGCCATGTCTGGCATGTGTTATGCCCCTGCTATAGATCGTTTGTTTATTGTGGACCCTGCTAAAAGAGAATTAGAGAGTTGATGGTTTAGTGATTCTTTAAGCCTGTCTGCACTGTGCTGGCACATCTTATTATCAGTTGTAAACTAGATTTGAACACCGTCTGTCCGAACAAAGAATTTAAGATCCCAAGACTTGGATGCTGCCTTGCATGCTAATGAGGGTATTTCTGGATTGATAGTCTAACAGATGTTTGTTTTTTTTATGACAGATCCAACTGTGTCATAAACCTCTCTCCGGATAAGAAAGCTGTGCTAAGAGAAGCTTATCGGGTGCTAAAGGTAATACAGTATGTGTGTAAATATTCAATAAAACTGATTTTATAAGAAAATGATAATGAAAAAGTGTTATGGTGAACATTTTATAGTTCTGTCGCACAGCTAGGCAATGTTAAATAGAAGCCTGGGGACAGATTTGAGAGATTCCCTATCAGATTTAATAAATTAGTTGAGACAGATTGAAACTTGCCCCTCACCACTTTTTAATTGTATGTCTGTTTTCAGTTTGTCTGTTTTATCTCATTTTGGGGAAAATTTGTCTCATCTGCACAGGTTAATCTGATGCACAACTGTGCAAATCTGTTTTAGTGTACTGCTTACATTTACAGGTGCAGGGATCACAGTTTTATTTACACAGCGCTTTACAAACTGTAGGTTGATTTTAGTCTCTGCCCTCAAAGAGCTAAAGCAGACCATAGATGTGTCAGTTTTTATTCCATTTACCCTGCATGTTGAACAAAATAAAATTTACATGATTCCTCCCCACCGAGCTATTGTATTCTGACAGCAGGGAGACTTCCCCACCATCAGAATACATTGATCAGCGGAGGAAGGTCCCTATCTCACATTCGTGCATACACAGACTAGGGCCAATTTGGACAGGAGTCAATTAATCTACCAGCAAGTATTTGGAGTGTGGAAGGATATCTTATGTATACATCCTGTCTGCAATCAGCTGCAAGAAAAATAATGGGAGGCTGGCAGCTCTAGCAGTTTATTGAGCCCACTTGCTCCCCCCCAAAAAAAACATACTGGGCTACATGCCCTCAATTTGGGGGTACTACTTTGCCAGGGAGGACACCATGTTGATGAGGACAAGGGCCTCTTCTCCAAACCAAAACTCTGACCCAGCGGTTGGGGAAGGGGGGGTCTGTGGGCAGGACATATTGAGGGCATGTGGCCTGGGAATTCCTAGCTGACTGTTGAGGGATGAGTCACTGGTTGTTAGTACGCCAATGGATGCCAGCTGTTTAAAGTCATTGTAAACCTGCTTTTTTTCAATAAAATAACAATATGTTATACTTGCCTGCTCTGTGCCGTGGTTTGCTGCCCCAGTCATCCTCTTTTCGAGTCCGCCACCTGCACTCCTGACTCCACCCCCCCCCCCCCCCCCCCCCCCCCTGAGTTCCCCCTTCCTATGTTGGGCACTCATGTGGGCTTGCTCTCAAGCTAGGCTGTTGATGTCTACTCAGACATACAGCCCAGCTCAGGTCCTGCCCCCGCTTTCTGCTCCCAGGTATGACTGACAGCAGCAGGAGGCAATGGCTCCTGCTGCTCTCAACCAAGCCTGTGAGAGCTGACAGAGGGAAGAGGAGCTGCTGCAGATGTGCACAGCACTGGAATAAGATTGGGTGAGTATTTGGGGGGGGGGGGTGCATGTAAAAGGTTTTTTACCTTAATGCAGAGAATGCCTTTACAACCACCTTAACAACCAGCATCTCTGAGAGCTGAAACTGTCATATTAGTGGTGACTGGAATACCATTGCTAAGTGAATTGAGCAGTCTCTTGCCACTACTAAAAATGGAGTAGGATAAAAAAACACTTAAAAAATGCAATACAAGATCACACTAAAAATTGGATCAAGTCACAGCTACACTAGCGTGAACCTAGCTTAAATATGTTGCTAATTTGCTTGATAAATGTTCCTTTATGTCATTCTGCCACTGCTGACCTGCTTTCCTACCATGGTGGTCCACTGGCTTTAAAACATTTCCCCTACCTTTTAGCCTTGAATCTGTTATAAAACAGTGTTATTATTGTCTATACATTTTGCAAAAATAATACAGGTTGGGGTAGGGAGTTCCAGAGGATTGGAGAGGTTTTGGAGAAGTCCTGGAGATGAAAATGGGAAGAGATGATGAGAGAATCAGAGAGCAGGAGGTCTTGGGATGAGTGAAGAGGACAGTTTGGTGATATTTTGAGGTGAGGTTGGTGATATAGCTGGGAGCAGAGTTGTTAATGTATGTTGTGAATATTTAGAGTTTTATTTGTTGGGTGCGCAGAAGCCAGTGAAGGCATTGGCAGAGAAGGGAGGAGGAAGTCATATAGTAGTTGGTATGGTGAACAAGTCTGGTAACAGTTTTCATGATAGACTGAAGAGGAATATTCTGTGCAGAGGTACGCCACTGATGAAAGAGTTGCAATAGTGGAGGCAAGAGATAGCAAGGGAGTGAAATATGTTGGCCCTTGTATTGTGGACATTTCCAGTAATCTGGAATGATGTAGTCTCGATATACCAAAATAAACAGAAAAATTCCTGTCATTCTGGATGAAGAATATTCTACCTTTTTATATAGTCTATCACATCTCAAACAAGGGAGATATTTCTTATTTTATCTGCAGTCCTTGATGTCACAGCATTTAGGAGAACATTGTGTTTTACAGGATGGTGGAGAGATGTACTTTAGTGACGTCTACTCTGATAAACCTATTCCCACTGAATTAAAGCAAAACAAAGTTCTGTGGGGTAAGTGCACTATATCAGTAGTGTATTCAGTACTGTATTGTCATTAGAATATGCTTCCTGCAAGATGAGCTATGAAATCCAGGATATATCCAGTATGCTGCATATCTCTTTAAAGAAGTTATCTAAAAATTATGGTATCTAAAAAATACCTAGATATCCCACTGCATTTTTGTTAAAGTGTATTAATGGGAACAGGTCACCATTACCAAATCACATTTTTATTTTAGGTAAAACGGAACATCTTGCTTGGCATACATGTAAAGATGCTGCTTTTACCAGTTCTCTTGGGCTGGAGGGGCTGCTGCACTCAGAGGTTTTTACCTTCATGCATAGAATGTATGTAGGTAAAAAAACTTTGAGCCTTTACAACCACTTTAACTAGAGTTTGGTAATTACCACATACCGATACAATTGTTTCTATTAACTTGATCTTCTTTGGTGCTGTTCACATATCTGCAGATTGGATGCGGTTTGAACCGTATCCAATCCGCATGACGTGAAAAAACATTGCTTCATTTGGTGCCTGTACACATATGTCCAATGCGCTGGCGGTGTGGATTCAGTGCGGTTTGAAAAAGAGTCATGTCCGATTTCTGAGCAGTGCGGTCCGGTTCAGGTGCAGATTACAGGCTATTGATTTCTATGGGAACCGTTTCTAAACCGCATATGTGTGAACAGGATAATCCTGAGAGCTAATCTTGTCCTGAACCTGATGTAAACCTGACATGAACCACTGAACAACTCCAAAACCAACTGTCCACATGTGAGCCAATACAGTGAATTTACTGCAAACACAACCCAAAAATGTTCAATAAACATATATTAAATAAAAATAAAAAAAAATTTTTAGGTTCGCAAAAACACATCACACCAACTCATACAATAGTGTCAACCAATATATAGATAAATATTGTGCTGCGCTCCTCTATTATTATCATCAAAGACACATTGACGTCTGACGTCACCGCGTGCAGTCGGCTTTACTGGCGAGTACAGACACAGTGTGTGTTTACACACTGCTACCTTTTCTTCTTAAAGGCTTGTTTATTTTAATGAAAATGTGAGTGTGACAGACAGAGTTTGGCAATAAAAGGAGTTTATAAGGATAAAGCACTATCTTCTGTTTTTCTTTGCAAATTATATATGTGGAGTTTGCTGGAGTAATTCTGGAGGATTGTTCCCCTGGAGGGGAGAAGGAGGGAAGATTCATCCAACCATCCACAAACCCATAGATCCATACAAGATAATGAGGAGAGGAGTGACACCAGGTTAACCAGGAAAACTGAGGTTTGGAGAGATTGTTTGAAGGTGATAAGCAGCCAAGCATACTTCATCCTTTTATAGGATAAACTGCGTGATTTAGCCTGTTGAGGCTGGAGACGTAGGTGAGCGCATGATAGAGCTGTATTTATGCTGCAAAAGTTTTTAGAACCTGGAGTGTATTCATCTAATTAGCACAGATTTCTCCAAAGGAAAGAGGACTCTTATGTTATCAGTCTCTGGATATACAATGATACATTTATTTCCTTAGTATAAAGGGATTGTATAAGCACAGTGGACATTTGTTTTTTTCACAGTTTGTTTTGTTTTTTTTCACACTTTATTTATATTTAGATTTTATTTTAGTTTATTTTTTACACGTAATCAATGTGTCTTTGATGATAATAATAGAGGACCGCAGCACGATATTTAACCACTGAACAACTACTGTGTCAATTAGCTGTTAAACCTTAGCTTCAGTCCGCACCACACATGTGTGAATCAGCTCTTATGCCCTGGTTCATATCAACGTGTTTTGAATGGACTGCTGTATCCACTGAAAACACAGGAAAAAAATCCCTGCAAATTTTCTGATAAATTGGCAGCAGAGAACCGTATAGTGCAGTGTATTTCCCAGTGCAGGAAACTGCACTCCAGTTACCAGTGCGTGAAGATGTGTGGTACCCCCACACATCTCCTATACTGCACCGCAATTCTTCTGCAGGTGCGGGAAAGTGTGCGATTACTTTCCTGCAGCCCACACTAATGTGAAACTAGCCTTCATGTATATTTTAGAGACATTTAAAATGCTATAGCTGTCCTTTGATTGTGATTCAGTTAATGCTTGGATGTAAATTTTCCTGTAAGGCTGGGATCGCCACCCAATTACTTGTTGGTCTTTGTTCTTCTTTTCTCATGGCAGCCTCTCACCTGTTTTCAGCTTTATGTAATTCTTCACAGGATTAAATCTACCAAAATTCATTTAATTTATATAATTCTGGAAAAGTATATAAAATTAGTATTGGCAGATTTGCAGTGAATGTTAAGGGATTTGTAAATGCTAGCAATGGACTTCTCTTATTTGGTTCCTTTTGGTCTGTTAAATATACCACTGAAAGCATTTTGTTATACCTGTTTCATAAATGCAAAAATACTTGTTAATCATGCCAAAAATGTGTCATTTTATAACCTCCTGTGCTGCTCTGTTATCAGTTAAATTGTTCTGAGAGTTATCTCACAACTTGCAGCATGTATATGTTGTAATGCCAATGTTTGGATACTTTGTTTCTGTACTTTTTGGGCACTAAGTGAACAACCACTGTTTCCCAAGAGTTTCTTTTCAGCGAATACTTAAAGCTTATATACCCAACCAAGGGGTAGGGAAGAGAAATAGAAGGGAAAAAATAGGGGGGGGGGGATGTTGAGTGTCCTTATTTTTTTGTACATTTGCCAGTGTAGCCGTTCTAGTTGATTCTAACAGAACACAAAGGGAAGATACTACAGGTTGCCTTTTTTGTCTTTATACAGGAGAATGCATTAGTGGTGCACTCTGCTGGGAAGACCTTTATCAGATTGCAGAAGAAATTGGTTTCAGCCCCCCACGGCTTGTCACCTCCAGTTACATCACAGTGAATAACAAGGATCTGGAAGAGATTATTGGTGGGTCTGTTTTATTTATTATATTACTTTAATATTGTGCATCTGATTTTAACATGTGCAAGGTGGTGAGTGTTGTTTTCCAAAAGTAATTGTGACTGACATTATATACCCATAATGCGATGCATACTAGCACATTGTGACATTACCTTGCAGGGTACTTTTTTTTTTTTTTTTTTTCTTTCTTGCGGTTTACTACTGCTTTAAGGCCAAACTTTTCCAGTCCCACCACAAAACCAGCAATATTGAGCAGGTAGGTTAGGCTAGCCAGAGAAGATGGGCAAAGAGATATATGAATTATATGGGTAGATCCTCCTGCGCTGCCAGTCACTAATCTATGTGTGAGAGTTGCAGCAAGCACCTAATTGTGTTCCCACAAATCCAATATGTACAACTAAATTAATGCTGCACTACTCAAATAACCCACCATCATTAAATAAATATATGATAAACACCCGTCTGAGTACCTCACCTAAGAGTGAAAAAGGTGACTAATATACAATCAATTAACGTCACACATATGAATAACCATACCTCCAGCAAAAATAGAAAATAAAAAAAAAATTAAAAGTAAAAACCCAGCTGAGCACCTCTCATGAGAATGAAATTAATGTGACTACAAAATACTATCTGTCAATGCAAAATTCAGCATACAATAAAAAAAACAATATATAAAAATAAATATAGATCAAATGATTTTCAGTAAACACCCAGCCGAGCACCTCCCTTGAAAATGGAAAGGCAGCGAAAATGACTGAATCAATAATGATTTTACTCAGGTTCAACATGAAACCTTCAATATAGAAATTATGGCAGCTGCAGAGCAGACACAGACACAGCTCTCTGTTCTCTAAGGGCAGTCGGATGGAAATGGACCACCTGTCCGTTTCCATCTGACTGCCATCCCATCCGATCTGACAGATGGAAAGGGAATGGATCCTCATCCGTCTCTTTTTTGGTGGACCAGATTGGATGACATCGGGTATAAACAGACACATGTCCGCTCCATAGAGGAGAATAGAGGTTCAAATCAGGTCCGTCTGAAAAACGGGCCGGCAGACCAGATTGGAACGTCCGTGTGAAAGGGGCTATAGTTGTACAAAGAGATATCTGCACATCAGCTATACTGCTGCTAGATGATTTTTCCCTTGATGCTCTACCAACAGACCATGGTACACATGTGGTCATCATCTTCCTTCTCTCTTCTAATTAAGAAGAAAGAAGGATTGGCCATCTCTGTATCTCTGTTTTCCCTCCTCTCTCTACAGTCAGATTACTGTGACCAAACTCTGTTGCCTTTTAGGAATAAAAGAATTTCTATGATGATGATATGTGAGAATTTTCTATTCTATATATGATCTATTTCATCTTATTTCTATATTTTAGGTGCCTACAAGTTTGTCTCTGCTACATTTCGTCTCTTCAAGCTCCCTGGGGACTCTGTGAAGGAAAAGGGTCAGGTTATTTATAATGGAGGAGTCACAGGCTGTGAGACTGAAGTGCAATTTGATGCAAATGTAATTTTTAAGGTAACCCACTGCAAATGTAATTCAGTTCTGTTGCTGATCACAGGTCTCCAGATATAAGGCCTGGTTCAGATATATGCATTTTACATTTTACTGCTTTCTCCAGTGCTTTTTGCAGTTTGTTTTATGTTTTTGTACACACATTTTTGATGCATTTTGTTCAGCTCCTTTTTTTTTGTTACAGTAGAATTTTTTTTGTTGCTGGGCAGAATAAAAATGTAAAACGTGGCAAAAACACAGCAAAAATGCACTACCATGCATTTCAGCAGCTTCTCCATAAAACTCTATTGTAGCAGAAACGCTGCTTTTTGCTTTTAAAAAAGTCCATGACCCTTTCCAAAAAATGCAGCAGCTCAAAAAATCATACAGTAGATGTGAACATGTTCCTTAGGAAACCATGTTAAATGGACTGTAGTGCGTTTCTGCAAAAAGCACTAAAAACCTCATTGGTGTGAACGGAGCCTAAGATCTTGCTGATCTGACTTCATCTGAGGGTAGAGAGACACCACCATGCTGCAGTCATTCGCCCCTCATACAGGCAGTAGCTGGACCTTTACATGAGGTATCCAAAAGAAGGCAGCACAGTGGTTAAGTAATTAGCAATCTTGCCTTACATTGCTGAGTTCTTAGATTTAATTCTGACCAAGGACCCTATTTGCATGTAGTTAGTAAATGCTTCATGTGTTAGTCGGTCAATCCCTACCAACTAAATCTATCTAGGAGTTGGGCAAATGACACAGATTATCTACATAAAATATTAACTTCTGAGCACCATGCTGATAATAGCCTGCCTGATTGAATATAAACCAGCTGGAGAGTTTAGGTAGATAACAGCTACATACACAGATTAAATGCATATCAGAGGGCTGTTTTACCTGCCAAAGATTTGGAAATCCTTTGGTAGTTATGAGCCAAAAGCAAAATTATTAAGATCATGAACAAATAAATGTAATTATTTTCGGAGGGTTTGGGTACCATGGATTAAATACCCCTCAGTGAGCACAGTGGTGTTTGGGGGGGGGGGGGGGGGTGACAAAACCATATAGGATATCCACCTTCACAGTCACCCCTGCTACCTCTCATTTAAATTTCCTTCTCTCTTTCCCTCTACCATCTTTTTCTGGGGATAGGATATTTGGTTATCTCTAAATAAACACTTGATTCCTTGGAATCCTAACCTTGATCTTTTAACAACTCAATACCACGCTGTTAAATAGATTGTATTGCAGGTGAAATTAGCTTTCACAAAAAATAGTGAAACTACTTATGTTCTGCAAACTTAAAGTGGTAGTAAAGTTGAAAAAAAAAAAAAAAAAAAAAAGGTTTCCCCCTGCAAGGTAAAGGCTTAATGTGCTAGTATGCATCACATACTAGTACATTATGAAAAACGTACCTACCTTGAAACAAAGTTCTCCAGCGGTGTGCTTCCATTTTCAACCCGTCTTCCTTTTTGTTCTCGGGCTGCGGCTGCTTGAATGCATGCGTACTGGAGTTTTGGTCACGGCAGACAGCTTTGAAGGAATGGCATGGGTATGCCGTTCGTTCAGAGCGCATGCGCCGGTATTGTCACTGGCTGCTGCTCACGTTTAGGAGATATTCATTTTACCTACAAGTAAGCTTTATTATATGCTTACCTGTAGGTAAAAATAGAATTTACTACCACTTTAAATTTGATTCAAGGCCACATGGGGATAGGGAGCTGCCATGGTATTATAGAATGTATGAAATGCCTATCCATTGTTTTACCAGAAATATGTTACTCACACCGATTTTGTGTATTCAACAATGTGAACTGCTACCACAAAATGTTAATTTTACTGTTTTGTACGTTTGTTGAGTTGTTTTGGAAATTAGCAGGATATTGAAATATAAAAGATAATATTCAACATCATATTTTTAATGCTAAGAAATTCTAATCGTACAGTTGTACCTCTTGTTTTCTTGCCCTGTAAAGGAAGGTGAAGTAGTGGAAGTGGATGAAGAATTGTGGAGCATCCTCAAGAGTTCACGATTTTCAGATGAGTTTCTATTTCAGCCTGCTGGGAAGGCAAGCTCTTGCCAGAAGAAAAAGGTTTGTTCTGCTTGTTAAAAGGAACTATGGGCAAAAAAAATGACATAGCTGATGCATTCTGTCACTAGCATTGGCATAGCTGGGTGTTTTGGGGTTTTTTGAGTTCCACATAGCATATTTGTTGATCCTATCAATCTTTCTGTTATTATCCGCTTCCTCCAACAGACCAAGCTCTTCAGCAAAAGTGTCAGTTCCTCTGGTGGAAAAAGTCAAATTACACTGGTAACACTCCTCTTACAGCAGTCTGCTTCATATGGCTTAAACCTATTTCCAAAAAAAGTAAAAAACATGTTGCTGTAACTACTTAAAAAATGTAAACTGGAGTTGGGCTTTTATTTAATTGTCTCTTTCTTAAGGCCCAAGTCCAGGAAACTAAAAAAACTGTCCCTTGAAGTGGGGCTGTGCCCACACTGTAAGGGTTAATTGCTCATTTAGGTCTAGGGAAACAATAAAAGACAATTTACTTAACGTACTATATGTAAACCCTCACCTTGTAAAAACAACCCATACAGTTTAAGTAGAAATGGAAGGTAAAACATTTGTGTATACATATAAAAAAAACACAATAAATACCTCTTTTTCTCCTTTTTTTATAAGAGATCACGTACTCTCTGTCAGGCCCAAAATAGGCTTGGGCATCTTAGACTGTGCAGCCCACTCTAAAATTCGGGGGGGGGGGGGGCCAAAAAGAAGAATCATTGGGTGGATGACAGGGGGGGGGAAACACACACAGCTCCACATAAATACACTTGCTCCCCCCTACATTTACACACACACACAAACACTCATATCCACATAAATACCTCCCCCCTGCATTTACACACATTCAACCCTCCATACCATATATACATACATACACACCATACATACACCCCCTGCATTTACAAACACACCTAACTCCACATAAATACATCCCCCTGCATTTACACAAACTCTAACCTGCACAAATATACACCTCCTGCATTTACACACACACCTACTTCCACATATATATACCTTTGCATTATACAGTGAAACAAAGGGAGAGAGAGACAGACAGTGAGAGATAGGGAAAGAGAACATTCAGTTGTCACCTGGCAAAGTTACAAACACCAAAATGACTTCTATAATAAATAGCAATATAGAATATAATAGCAATGATGATATGCACAAGTACAGAAGCCCATCAGACAATGTTAGGTACAGTTTGATTGGCTGCTATGGATAACACTTTGCACATGGCTACTTGAATTAGTAAATAATCCTGACACTCATAAGCAATTTAATACAAGTGTACTGTGTTGCTTTAAATGAGCGATCCTCTGGATCTTCAGATATGTCCATTCCATAGCAGGCACTCACATGGGAAATTTCATACAAGAGTTTTTGCTTCTGAAAAGTGCACAGATTGCAACTCATTGTAAACTAGTGGAAGAGTACAAGACATCTGATTCTCTGTTTTGTGAGCAGAAGATGCTGTGACAGGAGATCACATTCCCGACTTGACTACTGCTGTTCATCAGTCTCTTTGCCTCCTCTACACAGGCACACCAGTGTGAGCTTTCAGCCAAGGAAGTGATTGCAGCGTCTTCCTCTGCCATCCCTCTAAGTATCTGACAACGCCGTACTACTCGTCACTGCCCACCCACAGGGAGCAGTCACCGCGGTGATGCAGAGGAAAGGCAAGCCTGTGAGGCCCCCTCTGCCAGCTATACAAATGCCCGCTGTGCCCGATGGCCAGTCCAGGCCTGCCCTCTATTCTCAGCTGCATAAGAGCTGGGGGGGGGAGGAGAAGCAGCAGCACACTGATCTTCCCTGTGACTGGCTGTGCAGGGAAGGGGGGGGGGGGTGTCAGGGCAAGTCTGATCATTGGAGGAGAGCAGACTGATTTTCCAGCACAGCTACAGAACTGACCACTTTGTGCTCTCCTGCCTAGTGTTGTCAGTTTTTAATAGGAAAGCAGAGGGACTGGCAGGAATACCAGATATTTCACACAAAGGAAACTATGCAAAGAGAACAGTATTCTTTTTCATACAAGTACATGGTATAGCAGGCAAATATCAGGAATATGAAATGTTGAGTTTACATATTCTTTAACTGATCCTCCACTCCTCCCCAATGCTAGCCAAATCCCTGCAGCGTTTTCTCCCCGACACGCTAGCAGTCTAGGATCCTGACATCATCAAGACCAAAACAGGGTCCATAGCACTGCTTTGGACAAGCTGACACTAAGGGAGAGTCCAGTGCCTAAGCGTGGGAACGCCATCTGCCGGGTAAGGATCAGGTAACTAAAAGTGTTCCTGTTCTCCCCTAGATTAAACAAGCAGTTAACCCTTGCAGTGCAGGCATAGACCCACTGCAAGGGATCCATTTTAAATTAAGCTATAACGTTTATTTCAAACAAACACCAAAACTGAGAATTTTTTTATTGTTTTTCAGCCAGGTCCTGCCTTTTCAGTGTAAGCATTTTCAGCTTCACTGGTTCCTCCAGGAAGCTAGGAACCATTGTAAATAGTGTCAGGATGCTGAATTGGAGGAGCTCTGGAAACATCTGCTCCTTGATCTCCTCTGTGATTAATGTACCTGGAAATGCTCAGCTCTGAGCATTTTCAGGTTCAGAGTTGTCAAACTCCTGGCTGAAAAGCCAGGTAAACAGATTATGACGAAGGGGGATTGTTGCTCACCTTGTGATGCCAATAAAGTTGAAAGAAAAATAGAGGTGTAAAAAAAATTAAATTCTAGTATTATTTTGTGTTTGTGTGCATTAAAATACATTTTAGTGTATTTTTACTGAAAATATGTCTTTGATAAACAGTTCTGCAAATATCATGGAACTTAAAAAACTGCAGCTGTAACCATTTTTTTCTACAGGGCCTCTACTTCCAAAAATATATACTTGTTTGGCATTTATAAGTAATTTTCTAGCAAAATATGCATATCTTATTGTGTGTGAAAGATTAAAACATTCCTCAAGACTGAAGTATTTACAACTACATATCCATCTAAGACTACCCTGTCTACAGGGTGACACCCTATTAAAAACCCTCGGGACTTGTAGTCTCTCATTCACAGATGACTGCGAGTGAGTGACGCAGCCGTGTGGGCGGAGCCCTGTACAGCCACATTTTTTAAAAAACTCAACAGCTAGTGAGGGGGGAGAAGATCCCCCACTAGCTGTCAAAGCGGGGATGAGGGGGGCGGGAGCATGTCTGACCATAACATGTTACGCCCTGAATATGGGTGTAACATGTTACAAAAGGTTATCCTTTAATAAAATTGCTATTTTACCTATTACCTCTGAGAAACACGTGGGCCCCTTTACAAATACTAAACTTATTTGGCATTCTTTGCAAAGCGAATGTTCACTTAGCTTTACTGCACTACTGAAAGTGAAGAATTTTCAAAGTGAACATGCTCTACTAATCTGAATGCCAATCCTTATGTTTTCATGACCTTTAAAGTCAGTGACTGAACTGGTATGCAGGTCAAAAGTTACTTCCCTTTGTAAATGCTGAGAACTGTGCTCATAAAATGTTGAGGCTGGAGACACCCAGGCAGAAAAGGTCTGTAATGACAGCCTACATAGCCTCCATATTTCTATCAGTGCAGAGTTCCTTTAATCACTTGCTCCCCAGAAGATTTTACCCCCTTCATGACCAGGCCATTTTTTTGGTATTGGGCACTGTACTACGTTTAAGTGACAATTGTGTGGTCATGCAACACTGTACCCAAATGAAATGTATACAGCGGATAAAATAAGTATTGAACATGTCACCATTTTTCTAGGTAAATATATTTCTAAAGGTGCTATTGACATGAAATGTTCACCACATGTCGGTAGCAAGTCATGCAATCCATACATACAAAGAAACCAAAACAAATAAGTTCAGAAATTAAGTTATGTGTAATAAAATGGAATGACACAGGGAAAAAGTATTGAACACATGAAGAAAGGGAAGTGCAAAAAGACATGGAAAGCCAAGACACCGGCTGAAACCTATCAGCAATTAGAAAGCAATCCTGCCCCTTGTCAGTGCAAATTAATATCAGTTGGTTCAGTCTCAACTGATGGCCTATAAAAAGGTGTCTCATTACCAAGGTGTCACACAATAAATATGTTATGATGGGTAAAAGCAAAGAGCTCTCTCGAGACTTTTGTAACATTATTGAGGTCAAATGGCACTGCACATCACCCCAAAAACACCATAACAGCAGTGAAGTTTGGAGGTGGAAATATATTGGTGTGGGGCTGTTTTTCAGCATATAGCACTGGCAAACTTCATGTCATTGAAGGAAGGATGAATGGAAAAATGTACCAAGACATAAAAAATCTGCTGCCATCTACCAGGATGATGAACATGAAACAAGGGTGGACATTTCAGCTAGACCAGTGGTGGGCAACCTTTTTTTTCAACTGAGCCAAATCTCGCCAAAACCATGATTGAAATTTATTTTGAGAGCCACATTTTTAAAACTGAAAATACATCTCCCATATAGTAATTCATCCCCCATAGTGTAATTCATCCCCCATGGTGTAATTCATCCCCCATAGTAATTCATCCCCCATATAGTAATTCATCCCCCATATAGTAATTCATCCCCCATATAGTAATTCATCCCCCATAGCAATTCATCCCCCGTATAGTATTTCATCCCTCGTATAGTATTTCATCCCCCGTATAGTATTTCATCCCCCATATAGTATTTCATCCCCCATATAGTATTTCATCCCCCATATAGTATTTCATCCCCCATATAGTATTTCATCCCCCATATAGTATTTCATCCCTCATATAGTATTTCATCCCTCATATAGTATTTCATCCCTCATATAGTATTTCATCCCCCCATATAGTATTTCATCCCTCATATAGTATTTCATCCCCCCATATAGTATTTCATCCCTCATATAGTATTTCATCCCCCCATATAGTATTTCATCCCTCATATAGTAATTCATCCCTCATATAGTATTTCATCCCCCCATATAGTATTTCATCCCTCATATAGTATTTCATCCCTCATATAGTAATTCATCC